TGGAGACAGTGTTCTATTTACGTTATAAGCAAGTCGTGTCCCCTATCTTATTACCTTCTCATCTGATAGGGATAGTGTTCTATTTACGTTACAAGCAAGTCGTGTCCCTATCGTATTACCTTCTCATCTGTTGGGGATAGTGTTCTATTTACGTTATAAGCAAGTCGTGTCCCTATCTTATTACCTTCTCATCTGATAGGGATAGTGTTCTAATTACTTGTCAATTTTTGAAATGTGTGATCTAATTTGGTTCTTGATGTGACTGAAAACTTCAGTTCCTTGTTAAATAAGAGAATAACGATACTTCATTCTACAATTCTGAAATGTGTCACTTTTCTACCGTAATACAAATTTCTCTAAGTTACTGCTTTTCACGCTTAATCCAGCTTATGAGGCCTCCTGAGTAATGTATGTCACACGTGCTGACTCGGATGTTGTTGTTTTTTTAGACTTCTTTTTAAAAACAGGCTTATGACGTTTTACAGTCTTGAGGGTTTTTTATATATAAAAAAGGCTTATGGAACTTTTGTTGCAGGCGGAATGAATCAAATGTTCGATTGTAATCTGTTTGTTTTGCACTTTATTTTGTTTTATCGGAGATTTAATTGTTTTCTTATTTGTTTAGATGAAAGTTTGGGGTTTTATGAAAGAGTTGACCGTGAATTTCAGTTTTTGGTTTATTTTCTTCTGGTCAGATGAAACCAACCAGTTACAAGAACAACACCAGAACGGACAGCAACGACAAGATGGACGGCGAGGTCCCAAACGTCCTAGAACTATCTTGACCACTGCTCAGAGAAGAGCATTTAAGGCGTCATTCGAAGTCAGCCAAAAACCTTGTAGAAAGGTAAAATGATTGAATATATAACAACAAACATGAGATGTAGGGAGAATATATAACAACAAACATGAGATGTAGGGAGAATATATAACAAAAAATATGAGATGTAGGGAGAATATATAACACCAAACATGGGATGTGGGGAGAATATATAACAACAAACATGAGATGTAGGGAGAATATATAACAACAAACATGGGATGTAGGGAGAATATATAACAACAAACATGGGATATAGGGAGAATATATAACAACAAACATGAGATGTAGGGAGAATATATAACACCAAACATGGGATGTAGGGAGAATATATAACAACAAACATGAGATGTAGGGAGAATATACAACAACAAACATGAGATGTAGGGAGAATATATAACAACAAACATGAGATGTAGGGAGAATATATAACAACAAACATGAGATGTAGGGAGAATATACAACAACAAACATGGGATGTAGGGAGAATATATATGTTGTTGAATTTCGCGCAAAGCTACACGAGGGCTATCTGCGCTAGCAGTCTCTAATTTACCAGTGAAAGACTAGAGGGAAGGCAGCTAGTCATCACCACCCACCGCCTACTCTTTTACCAACAAATCACACACACTGGATTGACCGTCACATATAACGCCCCACACGGCTGAAAGGGCGAGCATGTTTGTTGTGACGGGGATTCGAACCCGCGACCCACAGATTGCGAGTCGAGCGCTCCCTAACGACCTGGATCCATAAGTGTTCGTCTATTAAAAAGAAGAAGAGTATTGATCAACGTGTGCTTATTGTTCTAGCATGTGGGTCGAGAAATCAGAATGCTAGAATTCGGGGTTCGATCCCTGCCGTAGACAAAAAGTATTATTATTACCAAACATATCGCCAGAACCGAACGTGTGTTCCACTCAGTTGGGCGAAACTGGCGTAATTGTTAATTCATATTCATTCTCATATACATAGAGGGAGCCCCTCTCCACAGATAACCCATCACGTGCTTAACTACAGACAAATAAATATAGAGGGCGTTTTGACCATACAGTATTATCACTTTTCTCACAATATTTGTTACTGATTTTATTGTATAGAAAAAATTTCAAAGTCTTTCAATTCTCTGTGCGATAGGATAACGACGTTTGGCGGTGTGTGTTGTTACCATATGACACATGGCTTGTGACGCGTTTTAGTAAATTACGGATTGTATCTTTGATTAACTTATAACGTGTTGATTTTGGGTACTATGGACCCTTTTCGTAGCTGAGAATGTTAACAGTTTTTTGTTATATTTTTAATAATAGGTCCGAGAATCCTTAGCCAAAGAAACTGGTTTGAGTGTGCGCATTGTGCAGGTTTGGTTCCAAAATCAGAGGGCGAAGGTAAGCTTTGTCAAAATAATAGTTTGATTTAATTAGCATTTTATTTATAGCTGTGTTAAAATATTTTCCGCCTTTTCATTGTACTGTATTAGTGAACGACGAAAGAAAATGTGCTACGTAAATAGTGACGTTTTTTTAGCCGCGGCACAATGGCTCATAGAACGGCTCCAAGTTATTGTTTGTTTCTTTTGCGTTTTTTTCGGGTACAAACTTTTAGCTCATTGCTCAGTCATCTCTTGACCGATTTGAGATCTAATTACAGTTTTGGACTCAGGAGACCAAACCCTTTCGACTGACCACCCCCAAGGTCTCATAGATTAATTTACTCTAATCCTGGCTAAAATAATTTCAATTTCGGGGTAGGCTAGAAGAGATCCTGATGAGTAATAAAACTGAATTCGGTATACGCGTGCCCCACGCTTGATATTGCTGGCGCACAAAAATATCGCTAATAAAAAGGGGAAAAAAAGGTTGGAGAGAGAGAGTGGTATTGTAAAGTAAAAAAAGTTAATAATAAAACATTGTAAAAAAACTGCCTGCAGAA